CAAAGGATAAGGAAGGACACTATATAATGATTAAAGGGTCAATACACCAGGAGGACATAACTATAATAAATATTTACACACCCAACAACAGGGCTCCAAAATACATAAAACAACTCTAATACTACTGAAAAGAGAGACAGTTCCACAATAGTAGTAGCAGAGTTCAAAAGAACACTTTCAGTGAAGGACAGAGCATCCAGAAAGAAACTCAACAATGACACGGAAGAGCTAAATGCTACAATCAACCAACTTGATCTCATAGACTGCAGCCAAGTATACTTTGTTTTTCAATGCACATGGAACATTCTCCAGAATAGGCCATATATTAGGCCATAAAGCAAGCCTTAACAAAATTCAAAGCATCGAAATATTACAAAGCATCTTTTCTGACCATAAAGCCATAAAAGTAGAAATCAGCAACAGAAAAAGCAAGGAAAAAGAAATCAAACACATGGAAACTGAATAACACCTTGCTCAAAAACTACGGGGTTATAGAAGAAATAGAGGATGGAATAAAGAAATTCATAGAATCAAACGAGAATGAAAACACATCCTACCAGAATCTTTGGGACACAGCAAAAGGAGCACTCAGAGATCAGTTTATAGCAATAAATGCACACATCCAAAAAGAAGAAAGGGCCATAATCAAAACATTAACCCTACAACTGCAACAAGTAGAAAGAGAGCAGCAAAAGAAGCCCTCGGGCGCCAGAAGAAAGGAAATAATTAGAGCAGAATTAAACGGAATAGAGAATGGAAAAACAACAGAGGGAGTTAACAAGACCAAAAGCTGATTCTTTGAAAAGATCAACAAAATTGATAAACCATTGACCAAACTGACAAATGAAAAACAGGAGAGGAGGCAGATAACCCGTATAAGAAAAGAGATGGGTGATATCACAACAGACCCAACTGAAATCAAACGAATCGTAAGAGAATACTATGAAAAATTGTACTTAAACAAATTTAAAAACCTAGAGGAAATGGACATATTTCTAGAAACTCACTACCTACCTAAACTAACACAAGCAGAGGTAGAATAACGAAATAAACCCATAACAAAAGAAGTGATCAAAAAGATAATTAAAAAACTCCCAATGAAAAAAAAGCCCTGGCCCAGATGGCTTTGCTAGAGAATTCTACCAAACTTTCAGAGAAGCGTTAACACCACTATTACTAAAGGTATTTCAGAGCACAGAAAACGATGGAATATTCCCAATCTCATTCTATGAAGCAAGCACAACCCTGATACCAAAACCAGGTAAAGACACCATAAAAAGGAAAATTATAGACTAGTATCCCTCAAGAACATTGATGCAAAAATTCTCAACAGAATTCTAGCCAATAGAATTCAGCAACATAGCAAAAAAATAATTCATCATGATCAAGTGGGATTTATACCAGGTATGCAGGGATGGTTCAACGTTAGAAAAACAATCAATCTAATCCATCACATAAATAAAACAAAAGAAAAGAACCACATGATCAGTGCAGAAAAGCCATTTGACAAAGTCCAGCACTGATTCATGATAAAAACTCTCAACAAAATAGGAATAGAAGGGAAATTCCTCAGTATAATTAAGGGCATTTATACAAAGCCAACAGCCAACATCATGCTAAATGGATAGACTTTGAAAGCATTCCCCTTGAGAACAGGAACCAGACAAGGATGCCCTTTATCACCACTCTTACTCAACGTTGTGCTGGAGGTCCTAGCCAGAGCAGTTAGGCTAGAAAAAGAAATAAAGGGCATCCAAATTGGTAGGGAAGCAGTCAAAGTATCTCTATTTGCAGATGATATGATCTTATATACAGAAAACCCCAGAAAGAATCCACAAGAAAACTACTGGAACATACACAAGATTTCAGCAAAGTTGAAATATTCAGGCGGCTAACAAGACACATGAAGAAATGCTCATGATCATTAGCCATTAGAGAAATGCAGATCAAAACTACAATGAGATATCATGTCACCCCAACAAGGCTAGCATTAATTCAAAAAACACAAAATAATAAATGCTGGAGAGGTTGTGGAGAGACTGGAACACTTATGCACCGTTGGTGGGAATGTAAAATGGTACAGCCACTTTGGAAATCGATTTGGCACTTCCTTAAAAAGCTAGAAATAGAAGTACCATATGATCCAGCAATTCCACTCCTTGGAATATATCCTGGAGAAATAAGAGCCGTCACAGGAATAGATATATGCATACCTGTGTTCACTGCAGTGCTGTTCACAGTAGCAAAAAGATGGAAACAACCTAGGTGCCCATCAACAGATGTATGGATAAACAAATTATGGTATATCAACCCAGTGGAATACTACGCAATGATACAGAACAACGATGAAGGTGTGAAGCGTCTTATAATATGAAGGAAGGTGGAGGTCATTATGCTCAGTGAATTTAGTCAGTCACAGAAGGACAAATATTGTATAAGACCACTATTATAAAAACTCAAGAAAAGGTTTAAACACAGAAGAAAACATTGTTTGATGGTT